GTCTATTGATAGCAACCTATTAATAGTGCGGTCGCTACGGGTATCAAAACCGTGTAACTTGTCGGGCAAATGATATTACCAGTGAATATTGCTGGCCTGTTGCGATTGACACAACTGCGGCACATAATTCGGAAATTAATAAATTATTGATGTTTTGGCCTGCGCGCAACAATTTAACTCGTGGTTTACTGCCTTAGAAATTTCTGCCTATCTTACAACGCAGCAATGAAGCAGTTTCCATATGACTGTGAAAAGCTCAATGCCGTGTGCGCGTCTTCCCGAGATATTGATGTTTTCTATAATTTTAATTTTCCTCACGCAATAAGATTGGTTTCTTGCAGCGCCGTGTCTTGACGTGTCCGTACCGTATTGGTGCTCTATTTCGGGTATTTGATTGGATGGAAAGTAAATTATCGCACATTGTGATTGGTTTAGCGCTTTTCACAGTCATACGAAAACTGCTTTATTGCGCGAGGACAAGTTGCACGACTTTGTTGCTCGTAATTCCTCACGCGGATTAAGTTATCCGGAACAGAACCGCGACGTGTTGTATATCAGTACATGCTGCAGCTGTTTATCCACACACACACTGATAGTGACTGGCTCCCCAATCCCTGATAAGCCTAATCATTAACAAAACTAAACCTTTTGTTAGCTGAGTTATTTGGTAGATTACATAGAAGTCATTCATGTTTCATACTCTATAGGTAATTGCCGATATTGGTATATCATTAAGACTCGAATATATCTTCAATGACTCTGACAAAAAAGGCGCATTCTGGTCTAGCTTTGATAGAAACCTGATAATATCAGTGCGATGAATGATATGTATTTACGTTTGTACCCAAGCTAGACCAGAAGGCACCAGGATCGCTATCTCGTGAAGGCGATTTAAAAAGGGAAAAGGGAGATGGAAGATTTTTGGAGCCCTTCACTTTTACTTTTTACCATCGAGAAGGTCCTCAGTGTCCATTAAGACGATATGTTTGGCTCTTTTCAAAAAGAAATGACTTCATATATAACTTGAATAACCGCCTCCTCTACTGCGCGCTCGTAAATGACAAAGCTACCAAGCCCGTAAGCGGTAAGGGACCAGTGCTAAGAAAACGTGGCAGCCTGAGATAGGGACTTGGTAGAAAAGGATTATATATAACTGCGATGCAATGCGTCTATAACCAAGCCAAGCGCTAGTGTAGACGGAGAATGACAATCCGTTTTAAAAACATTCCACTTTTTTGTTTAAAATTTTTATTCATATAAAAGCTAAAACGCATCAAAAACGTGCATGATTATCTGGATATTCATGTTAAATTATCGACATTACGTTAGCTTTTAGGCAATGTTTTCGTCATCGTTTTTTTGTACGATAAGGTTCCATTTAGGAATCGACCCAATGACACATCAAAATGTATATGAATAGATTCAGTCAAATCAAATTCAGACGGTGGTTGTGAAATGTAGTTCCGCGATACTAAAAAAGCAAGAGGAACGAGTCGCAATGCACGTCTACCATGAACGACAAATTGAACAAAGCTTGTAATACAAATTGGTTTATTTTTTCTTAATCAAAGCTTGTTCAATAATTAATAGAATCGTGTCATAAAGGAATGAGATTGAACCACGCACACGAAAACAAACATCTACCAAGGCTTCTACCTCAAACAACGTGGCTTAGCAGGGGCGGATCCAGGATTTTTTCAAAGGGGGGGGGGGGGGTTGTAGCATTGATTGAGGTACTTGTTTGGCGGGAAAGTAGCACAGGGTTCCCAAACGGAAGTAGGTCTTATGATAATGATTATTTCCTGCAGGCGAGCATGGTTGTTTCAGGTCCCACACACGGCGTATA